CCACTGCTGACTCTCCAGTTGCTCTATGATTCCCCTATGGCCTGTGACCTTCCTGACCTCTAAATCAGCAGTCACCAACCAGTGGTCCGTGAGGTCCGAAAGGTTGACAACTGCTGCCCTAAATAACAACCAGAGGTTGGTCCTCTCTCTTCTATCTCTCTCCTCCACTCCATTTATCACAGGAGACTATATCCAGCTTTGGTGTTTTAAAGAACAGATATGAGCCTCTACCTCTTAAAGTTGTATCTTCAGACCTACCCTCTGTCTTTCCTTCTAGAATTACAAATATAATACATCTTCCGAGGCACCATCTCCACTTCAATGACTGATGATAGAATTTCAAACCTATCTCTTGATTCTCAAGACTATTCAAAGTGTGTTTCTCTCACAGTCTTCTCTATTGCAATTAAAAACATCATCATTGAATAGATCCTTCCATTCCCGAATCTTCCTTTTACTCAAACCTTATAATCAATCCTTCAGCAAGCACCATCAGTTCTGCCTTCAAAATTTATCACAAATCACCTCGTCCAAATCACCATCCTCTCTCTTAACTCCTTTTGGTGGTCTCCCTTTCACCAGTCTGTTCTTTATGATGTGACCTTCCAACTCAGACCACTGACCTCCACACATCCACACACTGAGGGAAAGATGAAGGCTTTTGAAAGAGTATGGAAGTGCAGATGACTTAAAGGGGTCAATTCCTAATTCCTAGCTGCATGTATGCTCCTTCCTTTTGTTGATCTGCTTATGAAAGCTCTTGAGGTAGAACCACAATGCTGGCTCTCTTGAACCACATCCAATTTCATGACTGCCTTGGTCTCAGTTAACAAAGAAAGGCATCTTTCTCACTCACTCTGTCCTGTGCTACAAAGTGGTAAAAAGCCACAGGGGCACCAAGGAAATTATGATTATTGGGGGGGAAATTTTAAATCAAGGCATCATTTAGCCAGAGTAGAGCTTTGAGTCTTTCCTTGGTTGTATGTATTTCTACAAAAAGAGAAATGTGGTATTACATAAAGGACACCTGGCCTAACTAAAGATGTTCTAAGTTAGGGTAGACTATAGATGGGACGGGAGAGTGATGACCACTTTCTGCTTTGAGACCCTGCCTCATCAATCCTGAGTGACTGTCAACGAAGGACCTCCTTCTAAATGAGAGCAATGCCACAAGAGAGGAAGAAAGAAACACTGGGTGTGGAGCCTCACTTTGCTAAAGCAAGAACCTCACAGGCAGGACCCACGCCTCCTCTAAGAGTGGGATTATCTCAGTTTTTACTTTTTTTTTTTTTTTTAAAGAATTCTGGGCAATAATTTGTTATAAAAGGCACATTATCTAAAATAGGGGTGTCGAACTCAATCAGAGAAGAGGCCAAAATCTAAAATCCAGCCTAAATCGCGGGCCGAATGGTTTACTGAACAGTCATAAACTGTCATTGTGATGGAAACGCAGCGGAGTGCAGTGATGACAGCGCGGTGTGGGCCACATTGCAAGGCCTGGCGGGACGGATTTGGCCCGCGGGCCTTGTGTTTGACACATGTGATCTAAAAGTTGACTGTGATGAATCAGAAGAAAGAGCACCGTCACCCACCCAGGTCTCAGTCTATCTAACATTTTTGTGATTTCCTGGGCGAAGAGGTGAACAATTCTGCACCAACTCACAGCAGACCAATATTGCATCAGTAAAGAAACATTTCTAAGAGGTAGCATATATATATTTTTAAACATTTACTGAAACTTAAAGGAGGTACGTTAACTTTTACACAAAGAATACTGGGTGCTATAAATCTTTACTGAGTGCATGTATCTATCCTCTCATCAAGCACTTTTCAGCTTACTTATTCCTATCATGTAATCCTTAGAAATAGATTAGTTTTTTAAAAATATATTTTTATTTATTTCAGAGAGGTAAGGAGAGGTAGAGACAGAAGCATCAATGAGAGAATCATTGATTGACTGCCTCCTGCATGCCTCCCACTAGGGATTGAGCTTGCAACCCCAGTATGTGTCCTGATCTGGAATCAAACTTTGACCTTCTAGTTCATAGGTCAACACTCAGCCACTGAGTCATATTGGCTGGACAAGAATAACTTTTAATGAAATGTAATCAACCCTATAATAATAACATAATATACATAATATGTGAATATATTGTATAAACAATATAACTAATAATCATTAGAACTTGATTTCTAAGCTCCATATTATAGTATCTCAATATATTTTATGTATACTATTAATTTCCACCAAACTTTATCTCGTTCTAGTAATAACATTCACCAGTAGACAGGAGTTGAAAACTTAAATGCCCTCTTCACTTCTCCACCTCAATAAAAGATGCAATTACAATGGCATTATATTTTATATATAATAATTACCAATCTTTGTTTAATTTTGTTATAATTAAATATATATAATTTATATATTTTTTCAATCCTGTATAAATAATAAAAATTTCTAAAAAGAATTCTTATTTTAATTGAGAGTTTTATATTCAAAGATACTATAATTAAAAAAAAAAAAGACATCAGTGTGTGTATATAAGGACTACTAGTATATATGTGTATACACACACACACACACACACACACACACACAAGTAGGATGATCATTAAAACATTTTCACATATAGCCTGGCCAGTATTGCTCAGTGGTTGAATGACATCCTATGCACCAAGTGTTCCCTGGTTGGATTTCTGGTCCAGGCACATCCCCAGATTGTAGGCTCAATCCCCAGTAGAAGCAGCTGATCAATGTTTCCCTCTCATAGATGTTTCTGTCTCTCTCTCTCTCCTTCTCCCTTCATCTCTCTTTCAAAAAAAAAAAAAAATCAATAAAAACATGTTTTTAAATTGTTTTTATTTTCACATATAAAAATCATAAAATAAAATGGGTGAAGTGGGAGAGATATATAAGTTCAAAAGAAAAACAAATACATATCTTCAGACAGTTAAAAAAGAGCTTAGTTGCGTATTTTTTAAATGGATGGTAGTGTGTATCAAGTCATCTTGTTAAATGAATAAAATGCATAAGGTTAAGGTGACTTCCAGTTAGAGAATAACATCTAGATATCAAACTCTCTGAGATTTATATACTTAAATCTCATTTGATTTACTTCTTGAAAATTTTGAAAGAAAAGCTATTCTCCTTATTTTTAGTTGAGAAAAATGAGTTTCAGAGGTTGCATAACCTGGCCAAGGTTGCATCAGTTAATAAAATGGCTGTTAAGATTAAAATTTAGATCCTGTACTTTAATAATTCGATGCTACAGTTTTATTCACTGTAACATGTTATTTTATTTCCCTTACAATATTCTACATTTTCTCATATCAGTTTTATAGGTAATGGAATTACGACTCAGGGAGTAAAGAGATTTGTCCCAGCAAAGAAAGCTACGTATAGACACAGCCAGAACTCAGGTACTATCACCCCAGCTCTCACTTTCTTTTTGGAATCCTACACAGGCATAGCTGAGACACAAATGTAAAGGAACACACACAAGGTCACCCTGCTGGAGAGAGAAAAGGCTGAATTAGTTTAAAACTAGGTCAAGTGCTTATTAATCAAATGAACTTTTCAACATATTATATTGTGCCACTGCCAAACACACAAATGTTACAGACTTTCTGAGGGATGATAAAGATTTGTTCTGAGCATCAGCCATAGTAATGACAACGTAAATAATCTGCGGTGACAGGCACAGCTTAGCTAGGATGTGCCTGCCTATGGCCACAGGAGACTACTGCTCACCCACTGTTCCAGATAGGGTGGAAGACCTACCTGCACACAGGTCAGCTTTGATCTCTTCAAAGTGCAAATTTACTATGGATATTTAGCTATTTAATACCACTTTCCTATGTTCCAGTATATATGAACAAATAGTAAATTTTAAAATCAAAATGAAAATTTTTAATGATTCCAAAGAATTTACAGTTCTAGGAAAAAATAACATAGTAGAAATAGGCAGGTCTTTTTTAATACTCACACTCAAGTTGAGAAATCAAGTAGGAATATTATGATTTTCTCACCAAAACAGCACACCAGTTGGGTGTTCTTACATGATGCTCACATGCGCCTTATAATAATGAACAATTAAAAACAATAAGTTCCAGCTATAATAGCAGATACAGTTTACAGCTGAGGGCTCTTGGTTTCAAGTGATGTTAGGTAGAGATACTCGCTAATGGGGTATTTACTTCCTACTTCACACTGTTGCAACTTGGATAGTAAAACTTTGGATGAGTAACAGAAGTCAGGTCTCTCTCTACTCCACAGAATCATAAATTTTAATGATAAACATTTTTATATTTTCCTCCCCTCATTAAAAAGTAAAAAGTTGTGAAGAAAACAGAAGATAATTATGGTATCAAAAATTCGATGTTAGATTTAACAGTATGCTTATGTTGCAGTCTGCTACTAAACAATTTGCATTGAAAATGGAGTAGGTATTTATCTCTATCACTATGACTATAAATAGGAAAGTATAAATCAGACCACGATGACAGTTCAAGTGGAAAATTTAGGAGAAAGATTTTCAGCAATATATGACAAATTCAATTATTTATTTAGACTTAAATCTGGTAAAAGTTTAATCAAATTTAAAAAAATGCAAACAAAGCTAATTTCTAAATAGCACAAGAATATGAGAGACAAAATTATTTTGATTTTAAAGATTCTGATCTAGGAGCTTAAATAAAGAGAGAAACACCTTTATCACGGAGGGTGACTGTCTTAAAAGAGTCTTTCATCACAAAAACGCACCCCCGACAACCTACTTTCACGTGAGGAAAATGGGGTCATTTTTTAAAGTAAACTGTTGTTGGAAGGTAACTTTTAATTTGCTCACATAATGTAAATTGCTATGGTGAATGCGCGCTGGGTCATGCAAACACGGTAGCTGGAGTCAGATGTGACCCCGCAGCCCAGGTGTTCAGGAAAAGTGCTGTTAACAGTGAGGATTGATGATCTAATCAAACTGTCACAGCCAGATCCTCGGCAGGGTGGCTGCAGGATAATATTCAGAAAGCAAGCACATGCTTAGTGTTACTTCAAATTGATGCTGACATTTTCAATTGTGAAAAGAAATTTTTTCCTAAGTAATATAGGAAACAACTCAGCTAACCTTCCGGAGGATATCAGATAATCATGGTAGGTTGGTGTACAAAAGCTAACTTCTCAGAAATGTGAGCACACATGAAATACAAATAATCGGGCATTTCAGAGATTTACTATAGTAATCAACATTTTAATTACTCTCTGTTTTCTTAGATGTACAGTACTACTGCGATGAATATTCTCTCCACGTACAAACGAAGCAATATTTTTAGTCTGGTATTTGCATTTGGTAGCAAAAATTCCCACAAGGGTACAAATAACCAAGAGTCACGTGCTGATTAATCTGAGACTTCTAAAGTCACGTGTTAATTAAAGTAATTAATATAATCTTTCCTGGCAATGCTATGTATTTGTCACATGTTGTGCACAAAAATACTGATTGGACAGTCAGATTTAAAAAAACAAAAACGTCCAACCTGAAATATTAAGAGTTTTTGTTAAATCGCTGATGGTGGCATTTCAATAAAAACTGAGTGCCTAATTATTAAACAACAGCTCCTCCTAGAAAATCTCCAGACCACTCTACAACTAGGTGACAATTTACAAATAAGTCAAGTGTGCAAAAAAATATTCTACACATAAAGAAAAGAAAAAAGACAATGAAATGAGTGTGACTTCCAGTGAAGCCGGTCCTCTCCTGCATGGTTCCAGCAGCTCCAAAGGCGCACAGACTGGGCCTGACATGCCAGCTTTGTGGTCCTGCTCGTCTGTATTCCTGACCACGTCCTGAGCTCTCCAGGCGCAGCCTTTCCTCAGCAGCCAAGGACAATCGAGTGGGTTAAACTGCTTCATGTTTTCAAACACGTTCTAAAGCATTCTCGTGAAAATTTTTCGCCCTGTCATTCCTGACCTTTTTGAAATGGTACCCCAGTAAGGATTAATATTGATAAAAACCACATTATTTCTGTCATTCACCACTGACACATGGATCGAGGGTAACACAGCACAGCTACCCTGGTTCTCATATAAATATGACAAAGTAGAGATACCAAACTTTCTTTTTCATGAGGAATCAGAACAAGGGTACACATTTTCTGATAAGATATTTCTTAAAATATGCATTTTTAAAATTTCTAATAAAATCTATCAATATTAAAATGTAAAATCCCATAAATTATTTCAGAAAATCAAATTAAAAATTATTAATATGCATGAGGGAAATGTTTTTCTCCCAAAAGTAAATACCATGCATTTTGCTCTCACAATGCAAAGTGAATGCTGTATGTCTACTTCTATGTTAGGAGAAATCCATCAACACCATCTGGAAGTTTGTGTGAGTCTTCACCAGAGGGAGGGACTGGGACCAGCATATTCCTGAGGTGGGTGAGGGAAGTATTCCCACTGATAGCAAATCTGCCACTAAGAATAGTCCCATAATAGTGCTGAGTAAAACCCTCCTAAGGAGTTCACACACCGCGCAAAGGACACCAAGGATTTCTACTCACTCCATCACCTTAAGATTTGGGTAAAGCTCTTAAATACTGAGCTCGGAGGACTAAGTGCTTCTGGTATTTTCACTTGACATTCAAACACAATTGTGTAACAATTAGCAAGTTTAGATAAAGTTGGACCCTGCTCACACCACCACTCACCAAGAACCAGAAAAGGTCCCAAAATTTTTTTAATGTTGCTATGGAATCCATTCCCTCTTTGTGATGACTAAATTCTATATGGCACAATGCCTTAAGACACCTACACACTGGGAAAGTAAAAACTTCCGCTAGCAATTGGCTCACAGCTACTCTGTTAGAATATGGACTAACAAATTTATCACAAACCTTTATTTGACAATTTATTACAAACGTAATTATTAAAACTTTCCTGGATTATCAAGAATCCAATAAAATATGCTAATATTAAAACTAATAGACATAAGCATATGAAATCTAAAGTTAATATATTAAGTATTTTTCCTTTCAGTAGATAATCACTATTTGATAATTTAAACACAGAATTTTTTTTAATAGTTTCTATCACAGCATCCTATATAATAAAAGGCTAATATGCAAATCAATCGAATGGTGGAACAACTGGTCAGTATGATGTGCACTGACCACCAGGGGGCAGAAGTTGAACACAGGAGCTGCCCCCTGGTGGTTAGTGCACTATCACAGGAGGAGTGCCGCTCAGTAGGAAGCCAGAGGGAGCGGGCCTAAGCCAGCAGCCGGACATCCTCCGAGGGGTCCCCAACTATGAGAGGGCACAGGACCACCCCCCTTCCAGTGCATGAATGTTGTGCATCTGGGCCTCTAGTTGTTAATAAAAAGGAAGAGGAAATGAGTAACAGAAAAATTTTATAACTGATCTGATGCAATGCAAATTAGAAATTTCTTTGAAATTTCATGTTTTGTATTTGCTAAATAGAATTCAGGCATATATAATAATAATACTCTTCTCCATCCTTCCAATGTACAACTATGCCTTATTGGGAGATTGAGTGGAAGGTCGAATGAAACAAAACAGAAAACCATTAGTAGTTCCAGTTCTAGAACTTACCCAAAGGAAATCTATAATAATAAAAGCATAATATGTTAATTAGACCAAAAGTCCTTCCTCCTGGACAAAGCCACTGCAGGCAGGGGCCACATCAGAGGCAGCAGAGGCAGCAGATGCCCCCAGCCTCAGTGGCAGTGGGCAGGTACCAAGGCAGAGGCGGCCATTGCAGTGGCAGGGGGCCAAGGCCCTTGCATGAATTTTGTGCATCGAGCCTCTAGTAAACTAATAAATGGACAAGATTTGCACAAAGCAGTGTTTTCCCAGTAAAAAATTAGAAACATGATTAATGTCCATTAAAATAATATATACATATAAACAATAATTATAAGGCCATTAAATTATTGTGTAGGTCTATATTGATAAAATTACATGGGATAATGTCCATGGCATATGGACAAACCAAAGTTGCAAAACACTGTGATCAGAATGATTCTCACACAGAATTCTGAACACACTTATGCAGATACATAAGAACTGAGGGATGACAACATTAAGTACCCAAGCTAACCATGCCTGCCTTTGAGTGATGAGAGTTGTGATTCTATTTATTTTTTCTACTTATATGTGCTGATTGCATTTTTAACCAGCATAATCCATTCATTCAAGACAAGATGTTTTATTTTGGGGGGAAATTCTGACATAAAGTGAGAAGATAGAAGAAAATGGCTATGTTTTTAAAGAAGATCATGTTCTTCCAGAAATTTCATGTGTCAATACACCATTTTAAAGAGCTGGTGTACTTGGGAGACTTTGGGAATGTTTATTGTTGTTACAGAGTAATCCACATACTCTCTGTCAGTCACGACCAGTAGCATTAATTGAAGAGGTAATTGAAAGAGAGTCTAGGTGATCCCTGCTACAGTAAATGTTTTTTTCATGTAAATCCATAAAGTAGACCTGGGTTTCTATGCAGTGTTGTTACCATTAACATCATATGCAAACTAACAAGCATACATGTGCATCTGCATATGCTATTCAAAAACTACAGTGCATCTTGCTTACAAGTATATATCCAACTGACTTACATTTTCACTATATCCTTGAACACACTTAGAAAATATTAAATTAACAATTTAAATCTGACAAATTATTTGAAAGAACATTCTTTATAATTCAGTATCACTGATAGCATGAAATTACCATTTTTATGGCCCACATTTGTGATGCTCTATGCATCAAACTCAAAGGCTAACCCTGGCCAAATAAACAAGGTTTAAGTGGGCCACAAAAAAAAAAAAAGTTTCAATTTTCTTAGAAACATAGGCTTATTTTGATAAAGACATGCTGAATACAAAGGGCTGAAATAAATGAGTAATTGTTAACATAAAATAATAGAATATTTTAATAAAAATTAGTATTTTTTTCTTGAACAGTAACTTACTGGACACTGAATAACTGCACAAATTAATAAGCATAACACAAATAAAGCTATTTTTATTGTTCTCTGAGAGCAAAATATTTCTTGTTGCACACACCAAACAAGTCAGAACAGGACTAATGACGTGGCAATCGTCTGCTAAAATACTCGCTGCTATTATTTGTGGAAAGAAGTAGTGCGCCTGCGTGTAAGGTAGGTAAAGGAAGTGAATGCAACACGATTATAGTTATCAGTCATTAGTGAACATTGTAATTAGCTATTAATACCTAGAGGCACGAAATTCGTTAGCCCTCCCAGCTGCAGCGGCTGCCTTGGTTCTTGCAAGCCTTGTCTTCATCAGGACGGTCGTCCAGAAGGACATTCAGCTGTCCGGTCTAATTAGCATATTATGCTTTTATTATTATAGATTATGTATAACAGGTTATTGTAAAAATTAAGTTATGAATTTTTTATTAAAACTTTTCTTACATACCATTATATTGGCTGGGCTGCAAAAATATTCGTTGTAGGCCGCATGCAGCCCATTGGCTGCAAGTTTGATGTGTTTGCTCTAAATGTACTTAAAGTGTAAATAATAAAGATGAATTTCCACAAAAGCAAATTGATAAGAAGAATATGGAAACATAAAGATAATTTTATAAAATTAATCTCATCTATATTGTGCAAATACTAGTATTACAAACTAAAGAAGTGAGAAAGATTGGTTTTAGACTTCTCCCTATAACAATAAAAATATATATATTCATATAATTTGTGTTGAACTGCTCATTTTCTAAAAATTATATAATTCGGTAGGTCACAAGATAATAATGAAAACATGAATTGTAAAAAGCAAGAGGCTTGAAATTCATTTCCATTGAACAAAACTACCAGAATGCAAGCAGAAAAGATATATGATCTCAGTAATGAGAAGAGTTGAGGCATGAGGAAGCAATATGATGAAAGTTTTGCCTATCAGAAAAATTGGAGAATAAAAAATATTATACAAATAAATAGCACAGATAAATTAAAATGGTAATGGAATACAATCTAATCAGCAGACTCAGAAGCAAGGAAGTATACAAAATCAGCACAA